AATGGGATAAATTATCTCACATAAAAGAGGCAAGAAAAAGTTTTTACAGTAGAGGGGAAGAGGGGGGAGATGAGAGGGAATGAGTGAACCTTACTCTTATCAGAATTGGCTTAAGGAGGGAATAATATACACATTCAATTGGGTATGAAAATCTATCTTACCCAACAGGAAAGTAGGGGAGAAGGGGAAAAAGGGGTGTGATAGAAGGGAGGGCAGATTGGGGGAAGGGGTAATCAGAATGCACACCATCATGGCGGGGGGGAGGTGGAACGGGAGAGATGGGGAGAAAATTTGGAACTCAAAATCCTGTGGAAATGAATATTGAAAACTAGAAACAAATATTTTTTAAAATAAAAATAAAAATTACTGCCAAAACAAAAACCAAAAACCAGGTCATAGTTACCGTCCTGATTTGGTCGTCAGGTCATAGTTTTCTGATCCCTGGTACAGACTTAAGAAAGTGATGGAGAAAATGTTAATAATGCAGATTAAATTTTAAAATATGTTGTACACACTGTTTTTTGGAGAGCCAGTTAAACATTTACCAGCACACCACCAGATATTGCCATACCAAATACTTGGTTTATTGATGTTACATCTCCTTTTTTTATTACAACCCAACACCTTCTCAAACCCCCAAATATGAGCTTAGGACAGAGGCAAGCAGGTTGAAATCAGTGGAGCTTGCTTCTTATGTAATTTCAAAATGCTAATTGGAATCAGAAGTTTAGAGCTAGAAGAAATCATCTAGTTCAAATCTCCATTTTATCATTGAGGAAGCTAAGTGTCATGTTAAAGGCCGCACAGGTGATCATTGATGGAGCTGGACTTAGAACCCAGGTTTCCTGACTTCTAGTCTAGTATATTTTCTACTATACAATGCAACTATGTATACACCAAATACATGTAGACCTTAACAGAAATTTATTGTAAAAAATGTATATAAACTTGTATTATGTGATACCAGAATACTGTTTTTAAAATTTATTTATTTTTAGTTTTCAACATTCACTTCCACAAGATTTTGAGTTCCAAATTTTCTCCCTATCTCTCCTCTCCCTGGCCCATGATGGCATGCATTCTGATTACCCCTTTCCCCAACTGGCTCTCTCTTCTTTCACCTACCACCTCCTCTTATGCCCTTCTCCTTCTATTTTCCTGTAGGGAAATAGATTTCTATCTATCTAGATTTCTATCTATCTAGATACCCTGATTCCTATGTATCTTTTTTCCCAGTAGTATGTGGAAACAATTGTTTTTAATGCTTTGATCTATATTCAGACTCCATAATTCTTTTTCTGGATGTGAATAGCATTTTCCATCATGAGACTTTTGGAGATGTCTTAGGTCCTTGCATTTCTGAGAAGAGCTAAGTCTATCAAAGTTAGTCATCGCACAAGGTGGTGGTTACTGTGTACAGTGTTCTTCTGGTTCTGCTCACTTCACTCAGCATCAGTCCATACAAGTCTTTACAGGTTTTTCTGAAGTCTGCTTCCTCATCATTTATTTTTTTTTATTTTTTTATTTTTAACATGCATTTTTAAAACTTTGGGTTACAAATTTCCTCCCTCCCCCCCCACCCTCATTGAAAAGGCAAGCATCTTGATACAGTTTGCAGATATGTAGTCATGCAAAACACTTCCATAGCAGTCCTGTTGTGAAAAACTAAGTATATTTCCCTTCATCCTATCCTACCCCCCCATTTATTCTATTCTCTCTTTTGACCCTGTCCCTCTTCAGAAGTGTTTGCTTTTGATTATCCCTTCCCCCAATCTGCCCTCCCCTCTATCAACCCCCTGCTCTCTTGTCCCCTTCCCCCCTTATTTTCCTGTAGGGTAAGATAGATTTCCATACCCCATTGTGTATGTTATTCCCTCCTTAACCCAAATCCCATGAGAATAAGATTCACTCATTCCCTCTCACCTTCCCCCATTTCCCCTCCACTGTAAAAGCCTTTTCTTGTCTGTTTCATGTGAGATATTTTACCTCATTCTACTTCTCCCTTTCTCCTTCTCCCAGTGTAATCCTCTCTCACCCTTTAATTTTATTTTCTGGATATCACCCCTTCCTCTTCAACTCACCCTGTGCCCTCTATCTATAAATACATAAAGTTTTTTTCCCCTCCCACTACCCTAATACTGACAAAGGACTCGTGAGTTATAAATATCATCTTTCCCTGCAGGAATGTAAACAGTTCAACCTTAATAAGTCTCTTATGATTTCTCTTTCCTGTTTACCTCTTCCATGTTTCACTTGAGTCTTGTATTTGAAGGTCAGGTTTTCTATTCAGCTCTGGTCTTTTCCACAGGAATGCTTGAAAGTCCCCTATTTCATTGGATGACCATTTTTTACCTTGAAGGATTATACTCAGTTTTGTTGGGTAGGTGATTCTTGGTTGTAGTCCTAACTCTTTTGCCCTCCGGAATACCGTACTCCATGTCCTCCGGATCCTTAATGTAGAAGCTGCTAAATCTTGTGTTATCCTGATTGTGTTTCCACAGTACTTGAATGGTTTCCTTCTGGTTGCTTGCAATATCTTCTCCTTGACCTGGGAATTCTGGAATTTGGCTACAACATTCCTAGGAGTTTTCCTTTGGGGATCTCTTTCAGGAGGTGATCGGTGGATTCTTTCAATTTCTATTTTGCCCTCTGGTTCTAAAATATCAGGGCAGTTTTCCTTGATAATTTCTTGAAAGATGATGTCTGGGCTCTTTTTTGATCATGGCTTTCAGATAGTCCAATAATTTTTAAGGTCTCTCTCCTGGACCTATTTTCCAGGTCAGTTGTTTTTCCAATGAGATATTTCACATTCTCTTCTATTTTTTTCATTCCTTTGGATTAGTGTTACAGTGCCTTGATTTCTCAGATTGTCCCTAGTTTCCAATTTCTCCATTCTAATTTTTAAGTAAGTATTTTCCTTCACTAAGCTTTTGGACTTGTTTCCCATTTGGCCAATTTTGCTTTTTAGGGCATTCTTCTCCTCATTGGCTTTTTGGACCTCTTTTGCCATTTGGGTTAGGCTATTTTTTAAGGTGTTATTTTCTTCAGTATTTTTTTGGGTCTCCTTTAGCATCATTCTCAGTTTTTCCTCTGCTTCTCTTACTTACTTCTCAAAATCCTTTTGAGCTCTTCCATGGCCTGGGACCATTTCATATTTTTCTTGGAGGCTTCGAATGTAGGAGCTTTGGCTTCATTGTCTTCTTCTGGTTGTATGTTTTGATCTTCTTTGTCATCAAAGTAAGATAATATAGTCTGACTCCTTTTGCGCTGCTTGCTCATGATCTCAGCCAATTACTTGAGTTATAAACTCTTTGTTAAGGTAGGAGTCTATTTCCAGTGTGGAGAATGTACTGTCCCAAGCTTCAGGGGTTTTGTGCAGCTGTTTTCAGAGATACTTCTAGGGACCTGTATATTTTCAGTTCTTCCAACGTGCTATGATCAAGGGCGAGGTGTTTACTCCTTTCCTGACCTGTGCTCTGGTCTATGAGCACTCTTTTCTGTCTTGGAACTATAAGGAGGGTTTCCTCTCTGCAGCCACTACAAGCTCCACCATGCCAGCGCTCCTCCTCACCCCAGGACTGCCACCCAGAACTGTGACCCAGATCTAAGCATGGGCAAAGCAAGAGAATCCAGCACCAGCAGAGAGATTCCTGCAATCCCCCTCTGATCAACCACTCGATTCCCCCTCAGTCTGTGGGCCAAAAGCTCTGGAGGCAGCCGCCACCCCAAGGAATGGGGCTGGGACCCCGCACTCCTCTCTCACCACCGTAGAAACAGACTTTTCCCACTGACCTTCTAAGTTGTCTTTGGCGTTCATGGGTTGAGAAGTCTGGAAACCACCACAGGTGCCTGTGATTCAGTCCTCTGAGGCCTGCTCCAGGTTTGCTGCGGCCTGCGCGCCCACGCTGAACTGCGTTCCTTTCCCCGCCCTGTGCGATATACCTTTCTGATCAACCATCCAGGCTGTCTTTGGCTGGAAATTCATTTCACTCTGCTTTTTGTGGGTTCTGCTGCTTTAGAATTTGTTTAGAGCCATTTTTTATAAGTATTTGGAGGGGTTTGGGGGAGAGCTCAAGCAAGTCACTGCTTTCACTCTGCTATCTTGGCTCCTCTCCCCTCATCATTTCTCATAGCACAATAGTATTCCATTACATTCATATAGCCCCAGGACTGCTACCCAGATCCAAATATAGGCAAAGCAACAGAATCCTGCCTCAGTGCCAGCAAAGAGATCCCTGTGAGCTCCTTCTGATCAGTTGTTTGATGCCCTTACTGTCTGTGGACTGAGAGCTCTGGAAGCAGCCACTGCTGATGGGGCCGCCACCCCAGCATGGGCTATGGTAGAACCAGGGCCGGGCGATTCCATGCACACCCAGGTCCAATAGACCTTTTCCACTGACCTTCCAAGTAGTCCTTAGCATTTTGGGGTTAAGAAGTTTAGAAACTACCACAGCTGCCTATGATTGCATACCCTGAGACCTGCTCTAGGTTTGCTGGGGCCTGGTCTTTGCCTGCACAGCCCATGCTAAACTGTGCTCCTCTCCCAGCATGGTGCAACAGACCTTTCCCATCCATCTTCCAGGTTGTCTGGAGCTGGAAATTTGATTCACTCTGTCTTTTTGTGGGTTCTGCTGCTCTAGAATTTGCATAGAGTCATTTTTACAGGTATTTGGAGGGTTTTGGGGAAGAGCTCAAGCAAGTCACTGCTTTTACTTTGCTATCTTGGCTGCCACCAGTATACTGTGTTTTTAATTAATTTTTAGTTTGTTAAATATAAAAGTAGGTATAAAACTTGACATTCATTAAGTTCTAGCTAACTGGATAGTAATGAAATCAGTCTATCAATTAAATCACATATATGTAGCAGGCATTATATGGTAAGCACTGGGGAAACAAAGGTAAAATAGTCCCTACCTTTAAGGAACTTATCTAATGGAGACAACACCAAGTAAATGAAGAAAATGAGTTTCTTAGAATTCTTATAATTTTCCCTGTTTCAGACAGCTGAGGTGGCACTAGCTAACCTGAAGAATAAATATGAAAATGAAAAAACAATGGTGACTGAGACCATGACGAAACTTAGAAATGAATTGAAGGCCTTGAAAGAAGATGCAGCAACTTTCTCATCCTTGCGTGCCATGTTTGCAACCAGGTAAGGATTACTGGGTCCTGGATTCAAAAGAGATGCTCATCTAAGTTTCAGTTAGTCAACTAATATTTATTAAGCATTTACAATGTGGAAGGTTGTATTAAGCAATTGAAATATTAAAAAAAAAAAAAGAGCAAAAAATGCCCTTGCCCTCAAGGAGCTTTCTTTCTAATGAGGGAAACTAGAGAGATACAGAGATAGATGGATGAATGGAGCTATAGATTTATATCTATGTCAGTACATATAAGATAAATACAGACTAGATGATAGGTAGCCTTAAGAGAAGATGGCACTGATAGTTTGTAGGACAAGGAAAGGCCTCCTAGAAGAGATAGCACTTAAGATGAGTCTTAAAAGAAGCAAGGGATGCTGAGAGTCAGAGAATTGCAGGGAGGTACAGCATTCCAAGCATGAGGAAACAGCTAGTGCAAAAGCAGTGGAATGTATAACTATCAAAAAAGTAAAGAGGTTCCAGGTTGTGAAGAGTTTTAAATGACTAAAAATGGAATATTTAATCCTGAGCTAAAAAGGAATCACTGGAATTTACTAAACTAGGGACTGACATGTTCAGACCTATACTTTAGCAAAATCTCTTGGGCAACTTTGTAAAGGACAGATTGGAATGAGAAGAGTCAGCAGGGAGACCAGTTGGAATAGACAAAGACTTTGCATTTGTCAAGGTAAGAGGTACCAGAACTAGGGTAGTACCTATGTGGTAGAAAAAAGGTTTCATACACAAGAGATATTGTATAGAAGGAAATTAGCAGATTTGGCAAGTGATTTGATATGTAAAATGAGTGAGAGAGGGAAGTTGAAGATGGCACCAAAGTGTCTGGGAGGATAGTGGTGCCATTACAATAATAAGGAAGTTCAGAAGGGTGATAGGGCTTGGGGAGAAAGATAATGAATACTCTTGGGCATGTTGATTTTGACATTCACTTTGAAATGTTCAACTGACAGTTGGTGAACTGAAGAAATAAATATAGAAATCATGAGATTAGCAAGGGAGAAAGTATAAAGATAAAAGAGGACCAAGGGTAGAACCTTGAGGAATACCCATAGTTAGTAGGTGTGACATGGATGAAGATTCAAGCAAAAAAAAAAAAAAAAAGATTGAAAAGAAGTCATATAGACAGGAGGAGATCCAAGAGAGAAAACAGTCACAAAAGCCCGTAGAGGAAAGAGAATCAAAGAGGAAAGGTAGAGAACAAGAGGGAGGAGGATGTAGATGAGAACATTAGATATGGCAATTAAGAGATCATTAATAAATTTGTAAATTCAGAAAGAACAGTTACATTTGAATGATGAGGTCAAAAGCCAGATTGCAGAGGGTTTAGAAAAGGGTGAGAAGAAAGGAAATGGTGGCACTAATTGTATGCAACTTTTTCAAAGAGTTAAGATGAAGAGGAGAGAAGAGATATAGGATGACAGGTGGTAGTCATGATAACATATAATGAAGTGGTGGGGTGTGGGAATGAGCATGTTTATAAGCAGCAGGGAAGAAGCCAGTAGATGGAGAAGATTAGAGACAGTGTGTGTGTTGACTGTGGCATGCAGAAGAGTCACCTCATCATCAGAAGCTGGAGTTGAGGAGGTGGTAGGGGGGAGGGAGTGTCAGAGTGATGTAAGATAAGGAGTAGAAAAGAGGGAGTCTTAGCAAATGGCCTCAGTTTTGAGGAGCAAAGTATGAGTTGAAGTCCTCAGCCAAGAATAGAAGGGAGTGGTATGATAGGCTTGAGGAGAGAAGAAAAAGGAATGGCTCCATTTTCTCTCATACCTCCAACTCAGTGGTTGTATTGGTAGAGTTGGACTATTCTTTGTACCCTGTTGCCATTTCCAGACCTTCCCTCAATCATTTTCACTGAGCAATTTCTTCTTCTTTGAGATTAAAGCTTGTACGGTCCAGAATTCCCCTGGTTGGGGAACCCTGTACCTCCCCCATACTGTAAGGTGAATTTGATACCAAAGGAAGAGGTCAAGAAGCTCCAGACTGGTCATAACAGTTTAATCAATCATTATGATTACTTACAAACAGGGGCGATCTGGGGTGGCAGCTAGCTGATTCAGTGGATCCCTACAAAGACCCTAGGAAAGCCCAGTGGTGATGATATAAATCAGACAAAGGGAGGTGATACCATAGAGTACATCACTGTGGATTGGCGGATATTTTGGGTTTTTCTGCTTAGTTAATGTTTTGACTAATATTTTATACTTAGTATTGAACCCAGTTCCCAGACATCCAGGCATTTACCCAGTGCTGTTGGGTAAATGCCTAGGCACTCAAACTTGGGTACTGGTCATATACCAGTCACAGTATCTAAGCTGTGAGTCAGTATCTGAATTATGATTTTTGTATCTAAATTATAATTTCTTTTTATTTTGGGGGGAATGAGGCATTTAAGGTTAAATGACTTGCCCAGGATCACACACTACTAAGTGTCAAGTGTCTGAGGCTGGAGTTAAACTTAGGTCCTCTTGACTCCAGGGCTGGTGCTCTATTCACTGTACTACCTACGTGCCCCCTGAGTTATAATTTTTAACAGGCTTCCACCTTTCACAGAGTTTAAGTTTGTGGCTTTCACTTCTTACTGTGTATTATGGCTTTCACCAGTCAGGACCACACATCACCCAACTGATATTCTCATGGCTCTTTATCCATCTATCCTCAGGACATTCTCCTTCCTTGATCAATGTATTCAGTGTCTGCCTCACAGTCTTTCCCTTCAAATACCCTAGCTTTCCACTTCTTCAATTGATTCAATTCCCAATACTCCTCCACTCCATCTCAGCTGTACACAGAAATATTCATACCTTTGATTGCTGTCTCCCACCAATGTTCCCCTTCCTTGTTCAAGAACTCTGAAATTCCTTTATCTGATCATCATTTTTTTGTCATCCCATCTTTCCCTATTTCTTACTACCCCTAACCACATTCTTCATCCTTATTGTGCCCTCCAGTCCTTCTAGCCCTCAGTTCTTTTCCAGGCTATCACTCTTACACTAATAACACTCTCTTCCCTTCCCAATCCTGACCCTTTTGTGAATCAACTCAACTTTACACTATCTTCCATCCTCAACGCCCTCTTGTCCCATCACCAATCATTTCTTAGCAATCTGGTATTAATCCTACTATCCCCTCCTTCTATCCTGTTCACATGTTGTAGGACAAAGCTAAAGAAAATCAGAAAATTATGCTGACTGAATTCACTATAAATGTATGCTTAGGACTAAGGACTCAGATGGGTCCTCACTGCCACAAGGCAGACTCCCTAATTGATTCACTATCTCACTATCCTCTGCAACTGTTCCAAGCCTTTTGTCTTAAGCTTTCCACAACACTAGCTCCCTGCCCCCCTACCCCAGCTACTTGGCTTGAGAGACAGACAGAGATCTAGCAAATGTCTCCCATGTCTAGTATATCATGCTTTTGTGCCAGCCTTAGTTGTTTCTCCACTTCCTTTTCTATTCAGGCCATCTGTATTTTACTCCAGTTAGAATTTTGCTTCTGTTTCTGCCTCTGTTGATCTTTACCAAAGTATTCTCTACCACACTACTCTCCATTGGCTCCTGGATTTCTTCACATGACTACATTTCTTTGTTATACAATTCTTCTCATACTTCTTGTCCTTCTACCTTCCATATTTTCTCATAGGTCTCATTCCAGTAAATTTCATTCATGAGTTTAAATTCTTCTCCTAGCATTAGGATCTCTAGCTCACTTTTCTTGTTACCCACACATGCTTTTATATAGAGACACACAAAGCCTTGGTTGTAATTGCTACAAGTATTTCTTGGATTTGTCTCCTGTAAAATTCTGGGGCATCTCTACTGTTATTTTTCTTCTTCAATTATGGCTCTCCTTACTTTTCCAAAAGTCTCCTTGATTCATAGTCAAGAAAGTTATTAAGGATACTTTAAGGTCTGACTAGTGAGCTAAGATATATAAAATCAAGGATTCTTGGATATTGAATAGTCCATCACCTTAATATTCTGGAATAGTAAAATAAGATGTTGTTCAGTACAGTAGGGAAAACACTAAATTTGGAGTCAAAGGACATAGATTCCAATCCTGGATCTTTTACTACCCTTGTCTTTTATCCTCTATGGGTCTCAAGTTTCTTCATTTGTAAAATGAGAGAGTTAAGATAAATGATCTATGTATCTCTTAGCCTAAGAAGAACAGGAGTACTACAGGTTACTTTCTCCTGTCTTGACTTTAGCAATACCTGGCCCTTCTCTTACTTCTACAACTTCCTCCTGAACTTTTGTAAGACTATCTCCCATGCCTGCAATGCCTTTTTTTTAAAAAAAAAAGTTTTTATGGATATCTTCTTTTTCTTACATCATCATAATTATTACAAATATCCCTCCCCCTCTCAAAGAGCCATGTAATAATAAATAGTATTTTTTTAAGAGAGGGAAAAAATTAACGTAACTGATGAACACATTGAAAAATTCCGAAAAACATGTTCAATATGTAAGACTTGTCGATCTTCAACCCCCCAGGAAGGGATTACTTGGGGATGTCCTCTTGTATCTTTTCTTTCAAGTGCTCAATCTATGTAATTTTTATTGCATTCACTTTTGATTTTTTTTTTTTTGGTGTTCAGTTGTTTTTGTTGTAGTTATTGTGTATTTTGTTTTCTTGACTCTGCCTACTTCACTCTGCATCAGTTCTTACAGATCTTTCCATGCTTTTCTGTATTCACTACATAAATCATTTCTTACAGAACAGTAATTTTCTAATACCTTCATGTATCATGATTTGTTTAACCGTTTCCCAATTGATAGGCATCTATTTTGTCTCCAGTTCTTTGCTATCATAAAAAAGTGCTGTTTTAAATATTTTCGTGTAAATGGAAATTTACTTCTTATTGGCAGCTTCCTTGGGGTATAAGCCCAATGATGGGTCAAAAGATGTGGACGTTTTAATCACTTTGTTTACATAATTCCAAATCTTTGCAAAATGTATCAATTCACAGCCCCACCAACAATTCATTAGT